GAATTTCATAAATCTTGTCATCTCTTTATCTCACGCCCCTGCTTGGCGCTTTATAGGATTCTATGGCTACTCGAAGAGAGCCAACTGGAAAACTTCATCGGACCTTCTTCGTCATATTTATTTGGACACATCACTCCCATGGTGTGTCATGGGTGATTTTAATGACTTACTTTCGCCTGATGACAAATGAGGCCTACATGATCACCCCCTGGCTGATTCGTGGCTTTAGAAGCGCTATCATGGACGCCGCCCTACTGTACCTCCCACTAGAGGGCTATCGCTACACCTAGGTGAAGAGTAAGGGCTACCCACATCAAATTGAGGAATGTTTAGACAGAGCACAGAATTAGTTGGACCTCTTCCCTCATTGTCGACTTTAAAATGCAATAGCTGGGCAATCAGACCACTCTCATATACATCTTAAGCTTGCATGGCAGTATATTAATTGCCCGCTACATTCCTTCAAGTTTGAAAAATCATGGTTGTTTGAACCAAATCTCCCAAAACTGGTTGAACTTAGCTGGAACATACAAATTTATTGATATAATCTTTAGGCTTCAACATTGTGCCACTGAAATGGATGCATGTGGTAAGAAGCTTCAGTCACGTTTTCGAGCACCAATAGAAGCTTGCAGATGTCAATTCCTCACATTACAGGACAAGAAAGATTCCTAATCAGCCTCATGCTTCTTGGAGGTCCAAACCCGCTTTCACACCTTACTTATACAAGAAGAGACTTTCTGGAAACAAAGGTCCAAAAAATTTTGGCTTAAAGATGGTGACTGTAACACCAAATTTTTTCATGCAATCACAAGCTCTCGTAGCAAGCACAATCTCATTCAACACTTTTCCTCCAATGATGGATCTATGGCTACGGATCAACCCAGTATGTGTAAGGTGGCTCACACCTTGCTATTTTGAGGACATATATAAGGACCAAGTAAATTCGTTTGACCTGGTATTACATAATGTCACTCACTGCATTTCTCAATCTGATAATGATGTTCTTCTTCAGCCCTTCAGCATCACTGAATTTAGATCGACCTTATTCTCCATGCATGATAACAAGTCTCCAGGTCCTAATAGTCTTAACCTAGGGCTTTATTAAAGATTATGGGATCTCCAAGGACCTAAACTATTCCATGCGGGTGTCCAATAGCTAGAGCAAGGCTCTCTCCCTTACCAGCTAAGTTAGACAAACATTGTTCTCATCCTAAAAATTGAGCACCCAACCTCCATGAAAGATCTCAAACCCGTTTCCTACTTGTATTTCACCTAAACAATCTACCTTTATGGAAAATAGATCAATTATGGATAATGTAATGGTCGCAAATGAAATCATACACTACTTGAAGTGCAAGACACGTTGAAAGCAAGTTCATGTGGCACTTAAAATAGATATAAGCAAGGCCTTTGATAGGGTAAATTGGGCTTACCTACTAGCTCTTATGACTTGTATGGGCTTCCATGCCAGATGGGTCAGGTGGATGCAGAGGTGTCTCTCATCAGTGTAGTTTCATGTACTCATCAATTACCCTCTATCACTATGGCTAATGGTTCTCGCGCCACATCTCATGGTGTTGGTACTGTCCACCTTTCTCCTTCTCTCTCCATTGACAATGTCCTTTATGTCCCAGAGTCTCCCTTTAATCTATTATCCCTTAGTCGTCTTACTCGCTCTCTTGATTGTCTTATCTCTTTTACTAAAGATTTTGTTTTCTTACAGGACCGAAGTTCGGGATGGATGATTGGCACCGGATGTGAGTCTCATGGCCAAAATCATTTTTTTATTTTACTAACTTACTATATCTATCATTTTATTAACTACACTCATTTTTCCTAATCCCTTACATTTCTAACTTATAAAACTCATTTACCCTTTCATTCCATTTTCCCAATGCCTTTCAGTAA